AGCATCTATACATACTAGAAGAAGTACACTTGTCAAATAAGCAAAGCAGTCATAGTTCTCCTCTTTCTTGGCAGGCACTGGTGACTGATGCGGCTACAAATGTACAATCACTTTCATTGACGTGCCAAAGAAGAGTTGCCCTACGATTGCTTTGGCTTAATGAAATTTACAGCCTGTCTGATCATGCAGTAGAGGCCTGTCATGCAAAACATATATATGCTAGCCAAGGATATTCGTAGGTTTTCTCATATTTGAAAATAATGGAAGAGGTAGAGCTATAATACTGAAGTTATTTTTGTTGTACAAAGTTGTTCTGCTTTGTGACTAAGCAAGGGAAATAGTGTGATTTTATATAAGTGGAATGGAAGGTGGAAGCCACATATACAAGCGTATCTACCTTTCCCTAACCAATGACCAGAAGCAAACCATTTTGATCCTAATCGTAATATGGAATTTGTGATTCCATCTGAATTATTTGTTTACTGGTTCCATGCAGGACATATGAGTGGTGCAGAAGAAGATTATACATTAAAGTTTGACCCTATAGATTAATTCTTCAGGATCAATCTCAAAGTTCTCTGACGAGAGATTCTCTACAAAAGAGAAAAATGGAAAAGAAAGAGAAGTGCGGTTTGACTTACACCCAATGCAATCTGTGTTTTTGGGGTCTGATCGTAGATACAATAGATACTGGCTTTTCTTGGACCCTTGTAATGCATATGACCCAGGACATAGAAGGGTTTATATCGAATCTTCAGAAGATGGTCACTGGGAGGTGATTGATACATAAGAGGTATTCTGCTGAACTTTTGTTATCGATCAATGTGATTGTAGTACATATTGCTTGACCTTGTTTGTTTAATGTGGTCGGCCAAAGGAGGCCAGATCACGACCACCAGTGGTGATATGGTTAGACCGGATAATTATAAGATGACGATTGCAAGTGTCCTTGCAGCTTGGGCTCATCTTGGTGCATTTGATCATGGGATATGGGTGCATGGGTACCTGAGGAGAAGTTGCCTAGCGAGTGATGTGGTCGTTGTGCAGATGTGTGGACAAAGCATATGAGGTCTTTCAGGAAATGCCCAACAAGGATACTTCGGCATGGACAGCTATGATTTCAGTGCTGGCTCTCCATGGATTTGGCAATGAGGCTTTTGATATTTTTAGACAGATGGAAACAACGGGGGTGAAGCCGAACCATGTGACATTTGTTGGGCTAATGAAATAAACAGGGATAAAAAAGGAGGTCCCGGGCTGTAGCATGATTGAAATTGATGGGGTTCTTCTTGAATTTTCTGTGAGAGGATCACCAGATGTAAATTGTAATGGAGGAAGTAGTATTGGTCTTGTATCAGTTGAATAACGATATCTAGACAGAAAGGCATGCGCTTTACAGAATCACTCTAATGAGAATCATGAAAAGACAGTTAGGGTGTAGTTTTCATGAGGAGATGCAGGTGTCTACTTGTTTTCAATGAAATGATTCATATGTAAGACCATGAGAGCTGTAATTTTGTGATCTGAGAAGTTAAGCACCGTCATCAAGCAAGCACCCTTATGGAAGAAATTCCTCGAGGTATGCTCTAATATTCACTATGTGCTCGACTTTTGTCTTCAGTGTCATGGATTTTCTTTCCACTCCGATGCCTCCCATAGCAATAAGTTTAGCAGTAATTTTAGCTACAATTATGATCAGTCCCATGCTAGAAGATTGGGCACTGAGAGCAAAAAGAGATACCATCATGTTGTCACAAACTTCTTAAACACTGTAACGAACTTCTTTAGGCTGCACGATTACATGACTGAGTTTGGATACAAACACAAAACTTTTAGGGCGCTTAACTTGTTCATAAACTATGTTATCACCACAGATCCTGCAAATGTTGAGTACATCCTAAAACAAAACTTTGCAAACTATGGCAAGGTAATCAGACTTATGCAAGAAGTTTATGTTATTAGAAAGTCTCAAAATAGCTTGATTTTTTTTTTTTCACGTGTACATTTGAAGAGAGAATGTTGGCGTAAATCATTTAATTGATTTAAATCAGGAATTGTAATCCCGTATAATTATAGGATTCCCGTATTAGATGGGATGGTAATTACTTTCCTTTTGTTGTATACTTGTACACGAAAATACCATCCTAGAAGAATAAATCACTCAACCTTAATAGTATAGCCGAGCGGCTTTACTCTTTTTATTAAAAAAAAACGAGTTTAGCCTAGCGGATATACGTTTTTTATTTTATAAAAAACTAGTATAGCCGGACGGCTATACTGTTCATAAACAAAAAGGACCCGCCTGGCGCTAGCTCACACTTCGACATGCGTCCAAATAGTATAGCCGCGCGGCTATACTATCTTTAAATAATAAAAATCATAATATTAGCGTCGTCCAGATAATTCTCTCTTCTTCCTCGCACCGAGTCTGGGCCTCTTTGGCAATGTTTCCAGACATGGGGAAGAAGACGCAGATGACGAAAAAGTCAGGAAAAGGCAAACAGAAAGCAGCGAAAACTGAGGAAAAGAGAGCTCGCAGAGAGACCAGAAGCTCTCACCTGAGGATGACATCGATGCCATTTTGGTAATTTCATACTCGAACTATGCATATATATATATATACATATATGTCATTATGTGCTTGTTAATTAGATTTATGGATCATTTGAGAGCAGCTGAAATAGTTTGTGAAAGTTTTAAACTGTGTTGGAAAAATCTGCCTAGGCGGAGGCCTATTTTGAAGATTCTGCTCCCTATTTTCTATCTGATAGTTTATTTTCACCAAAGGATTTCAATTATGTATGAGAGAGAGAGAGAGAGAGAGAGAGAGAGAGAGAGAGAGACTTATTTTAATGAGATTAATTAGCTGTTATTCTCCTTCAAATACATATCACAATCCTGAATCCTCCAAAACCAAAGCAACTTAAATGGCACCAGAAGGTAAAAACTCTGCATGACTATGTGACTTAATTGAAAACAGAATCAACTTATTTCCTCTGAGAACTATCCTCTCAACTGCATATTACTGCTTTGACCCGCCTGCTTTTGGAGCTGCAGCATTTGCACAGTTACTGTTGATCAATGGAGGAAATGAAGGAAAGAAAGGGAACATTTTCAGCAAGCAATTCTGGTCAATTGCTTGGAAGGCCTTGCAACAAGCAGGGCCTACTACAAATTTACCAGTAGAGATTGAGGTATAAATTTCCCATGCACACCCTGGAACGTTCTGAAGTGAAGACCAACACTTTGCTACGTCATCCGGGTTCCCTGGCAGCGGCAACCCTGGGATCCCTGGTGGCAATAGGCCTGGGATAGGTGGAAAGAGAGGCAATGCTGGTGGGGGTGGTACATGCGCCAGGCCAGTTGCAGCACATGCTGCCATTAGCAGTAGTGAAAATATTGCTTCAACTTTTCTAGACATGGTTATTGGCAAACCTGGAACTCTTACTTTTGCACTATATCAGAAAAGGGTTAGGTAGATTGGCTTTGTTGATGGTTGGAGAGAAGAGGGTAAGGATTTATATAAGAGCAATGAGCCTCAGCTAAGTTGAAGACTTTGATGCTCAGGTAACTGGGTTACAAATGGAATTAAATTGTATTTAGTTATAGTGCAGTTTTTATTTTATTTTAATGAGCATTATTAAGTAACATTATAACTGTTTGCCATAGTGTTTCTGATCTGAGACCATACGAGCTTCAAAAGTTATAACGACCCTGCAAAAGTTTATTTCAATTAATTCTCTATTTAGTTTGACTCCAACACTACAAGCTCTTGCTTTACTTTTGGCCACATCACAAGCGTTATTGCTCTCACCAAAATGAACTAAAACCCTTCAGTTTGGGACACTGATACTTGTCATGCATGGCTTTGGTGCAATAGTTTCTAAGGAAGAAGCCTGTGATCTTAAAGACCTGAATATTCATACCTTACCAAGTTGAAAAAATAACAGGCTTCATTTTTTTTCGTCATTTACACATATGGTTTCATACTTCTAGTATGTTAAGAGATGATGGGAAAATTCTTGCATATAATCAGTGTATGTATACACCATCACTCTCACATTCAACATCTCGAATGTACTATACACCTGTTATATGCAAAATTTTCACTTGAGGAGGATATCTTTGTGGATAGACCAAAATATAAGCCAACTTTGTTTACCCTAGTCCCCGAAATTTTTCGTTCTTTACTGAGTAGCGAAAGTAAGGCAATGCAAATCTACTTTAGCTACTGTTGAACTCATAACATTTTCTGTGTTTTAGGAATCTGTATTGTTGTTGCAGTTGCTATAATGGACCTCATTGGTGACTTAATGTCTGATGTGCATGATTTCCAAGTTCAAGCATCATTGTTTTCGATTTCCTCAATTTAATAACCATTTATCTGAATTTAGGATTTTTGTTGCAAATTTAGAAGAAGAAAAAAAAAAGTGCCTCTGATTTAGTGGAATTTATTTTCTCATGTAAATGCACCCAGAATCCCAATAAAATGTTATTGCAAAGTTACAAGACAATGCCACTTGATCTGAACTCTAAAAAAAGATCTCATCTAATCCCATATCACTTGAGCTAAAATTTATGGGCAAATTAGAAACTTTAAGTATTTTTGGTAAAGCCACAAAAAATCTTGAGTTTCTCTTGGAAGAGGAACTAGGAAATATGCAAAATTCTCCCACTCATGGCATTACAGTTGTTCATATGGCCAGGAAGGATGAAAAGATTTAATTGGAAGTATATTGCACCAGCAACATAACCCGTAAATATGAAAGGGGAAGCGTATACGATCACCCTAACCCGGGAATTGGAGAGAGAGAGAGAGAGAGAGAGAGAGAGAGAGTCTTAATGCAATAAGATTCATCAGATGTTATTCTCTTTAAAATATTCATCACAATTCACAACCTAAGCAAAACTCAAGGTATACGTAAAACTTGCATGACAATGACTAATCGAGAACAAAAATATAATTTTTTGCCTGCAAGAACTATCCTCTCAATTGCCCACTACTGCTTTGACCCAACTGCTTTAGAAGCAGCAACATTCCCTGGAGCACAGTCTCCCTGGGGTAATGGAGGGAAGAAAGGAGGGAGCAATTTAGCCAAGCAATTTGCATCAATTGATTGGAAAGCCTTGCAACAAGCAGGGCCTAGTGAGAGTATCCCAGTAAAGATTGAGCCATAAATTTCCCATACACACCCCGGAATGCCCTCAAGTGAAGACCAACACTCTGCTTCTATGTCACCCTGTTTCCCTGGTGGAAATAGGCCTGGGATCCCTGGTGGCAAGAAGCCTGGTATCCCTGGTGGCAAGAAGCCTGGTACCCCTGGTGGCAAAAAGCTTGGAGTCCCTGGTGGCAAAAGGCTTGGGACCCCTGGTGGCAATAGGCCTGGGATCGTTGGAGCCCCCGGTGGCAAAAAGCTTGGAGCTCCTGGTGGCAAGAAGCTTGGGGCCCCGGGTGGCAATAGGCCTGTGATCGTCGGAGAGGGCGAGGGTGGCACATCGGCCAGCACAGTTGCAGCACATGCTGCCATTAGCAGTAGTGAAAATATTGCTCGAGCTTCTCTAGACATGGTTTTGTCAAAGTTGGAACTCTCAGTTTTATTTTTATACTAGGTCAGAGAAAGGGAAGCTAGATTGGCTGTGGCATGTTGGAGAGAGGGTAAGAGGATTTATAGAAGAGCAATGAGATCGGAACCATGAAGATTTTAATGCTGAGATGGGTGGGTTACAAATGGAATTAAATTTTGTTTTTAGTTTCTGTGCAGTTCTTATTCCATATACTGATCCTCCTCACAACATATCAGGTGAGATAAAGAATACACATAAGTTTCTGATCAAAATAATTTTATTTAGTTTATGCATCAGTTTATTTCATTAAACTCGCCATTTATTGTCTCCAATCCTTTAGAAAATCACCAGTATAAATAGTAGCCTAAATCTTATTCATCCATAGATAGGTTTAGTCACCAAAAATGGCTTAATTTTCGTTGCTTTCATTCATATATGACTTCTGCCTCTCACAAACCTTTATGATTCTTGTCAAGTTGTCAGTTTTGTTTTTTGTCTGAAGGTCATATGGTTTCATACTAGTTGAGGACAACGGAAATCCTATGGTTTGCTCATGAGACGATGATGTCTCACATGAAGAAAAATTTACATATCCGAGCGAGAGATTGGACAACTGTTCCTACAACACTCGTGACATGACGTTACGAGTGTGTAGGAACAGATGTCCCATCACTCAGGTCAACTTAAATTTTTCCTCCAAAGACATGGGGACAAAGATTAGAGGTTTTCAAACATGAAACTCTGACCTATTGCAGTCGCTATAATAGACCTTAATATGTTGCTTATGTAAGTGCCTTCCTCAGTTGATGTGCCTCAAAATTAGTTTAATAGTTCAGAATAAATTGTACATAGTACACACGTGTTGCATCGGCCTCCCTCAAAATACATATATTAGAATTAGACCACCAAACGCGCCACCTAATTCTTAGCAAGGCCATTCAATTAAAATATAACTTGGAAAGAGCCTACCAACTAGTACCAATCAATCTAAGTCATCACAAACATAAACCAGCCAGCCCCCCTTTCTTGAATGAGAAACAACCCGATCGAACAATTGAAAGAAAAATCTGTTCCAACACATGCCTGGTTTTATTTTAAAACCCTTTTCCTCCTCTAACTACTTTTGAACTATTAAAAACACAGAGACAGATGATGGCCGGTCAAGCAAAAGAAATTAATCAATGCATCAAGCCAAAACATAATAGTTAATTCCGAAAACGAGCCGAGGTATTATTATATCAATGAACAAAAAGGATTGATGTAATTTTCACTATATTTACATGGACATTCAGATAAAAACTGAAATGTAGATGGTAAACCCAAATAGAGCAAATTAAACATGCAAGGAAGGGTACAAATAAAATACAATTCAACTGAAATTAAACTACGATAATCAACTGTACATACACGAAGAATAATTACAGTCAACTCCCTTTGGGTTGTGAACTTGAACTCTTGGATAGAAGTCATTCTACCTGGCTAACCAGGTTGCATCTGTACAGCTCTTCACCTTGACGAAATGCCTTTCATCAATGCACCTTTTGTCCTCCTCCATACAATTTACAAGACCAGATGAGCCTGCGTATCCCAGCAACCAAAGCAGAATTAGCTTTCAAGCAATAGCTTTGCTTAACCAACATTAAAATTGAAGGAACAAGTCCATCTAGAACAGGACAGATTTATTTCAGCCTAGTTATCAACTGCTTGTCAGGAAAGCAAAACAAATATTCTAAGATAAGCAGCACCGTCATTTGAACCAGGGCATGGCTCTTTTGTCCTAAGATTAGTCCCCACAACACAGCAGCAACTCTTTTCAAGTAAAAGTCACCGGCATACTAAAAGATCATATTTGACATTCAATCCAAATCCATTGTCTCACATAAATATATCAATTCAACAATTGATGATTTATTAGCATCCAAATTCAGAGCTTGCACACACCCCTCATGATAATTTAATAATGGGCTGTGAATTAACCACGGCCTTAAACACCTGATCTGAAGCAGAGTGAACAAGCTCAAAACAGATGTTCCCAACAGAGACTGTAATTCATTACGCTCCATATTGAGGCATTGGTCAACCAATATTGTATTAATAAAATATGTTTGCTACTTGAGGGAAGAGAAAGAATTTCTCTTCGGTCATCGTATATGCAGCAGCTTAACTTCTGTAATTATAAACCTCCACCAAATAGCCTCAGTTAATCCAGTTTACCCAAATTAGTTTGATTATTTGCTGCCCAAAACATTAAATTCCCCCAGATAGAATCCAAAATGAATGGCATTGATTTTACTAGTTGAGCAAAAACATTTCTTCCAACAAATACAAAATCAGGCAATTGATCTGATATTAAGCTCACCTCAGATGCCGGTTTTGAGAAATACATTGTTCATCCTTCCTCATCTTCAGACTTGGAGGACACGTTATTAGAACTTTGATCCACCGCCTCCATCGGTTGTGGAGATGCACCTACAAATAGAAAGGAAGATAAAGCATAAGCACCAATTTCTCACCTAAATACAGAAAATTACACAATTCAGAACCAATCCGAGATGATCAAATTGCACAAAAGAATCAGATACTCCAACTAACAATCCAGGGGAACCCACAATTCAGAAACCTAATTTTGAACAAAACCCAATAAACATGATCCAAAAACTCAATCAAACCTTCTATGAAGTAAGCAGAAGAAGGCCAGCCTCTAATGGTGGTCATAGACATGGTCTCCTCCTCAGTCAAAGGGTTGGCCAGCTTATCGACCAGCTGAGCCAGACCGGTGGATCTTGACCGGGGCGGTGGGACCCAGTAGGAGGTACCGGGAAGAAACGGTAGCCAATCGGGTGCGGATCGGCGGACCATGATCCGGTGGATGGCGTCCTCGAGCTTTCGCAAAAGGGGATCAGAAGGAGAGTCGGTGGATGAGTCTGTTGTTGGGTCATGGTGAAAAGGAAGGTTGGATTGGGCTCGGAGGGTTATTAGGCGAGACGAAGAAGACGGCGATGATTTGGATGAGAGGTGGCGGGTTAGGGTAAGGGTTTGAGAGATGGACCTTGCCATTGAGAAAGGAAATTGGGAAGAGAGAAAGGGGAGATTCTGGAGGGTTGTTTGGATAAGAGGAAAATATGAGAGAAAATTTAGGTGTTTGAGAGAGAGAGTGGTAGAAGATGTGAGAGAGTGGAGGAGGAACGAGACTTTATATACGGTCTACCGACCGTACCGTCAAAAGCATTTTTTATTAGTGAATTTTTAATGTTTTAATTTTTGGTTAATGGAGGTTTGAAGAATAGTGGATTCAATTTTTGGGGCCAACTGGGGATGAGTTGGTCAAGTTAGAACAGCCGACGTACTTAATTTTTTCTTTTGTTTTTGTTTTTGGTACTACGAGATACTTAAGTAAGATTCCAATCCATTGTTTGGTAAGCAATGAATTTGATATGCATATCTAGATTAGGCTAGTTAGGTAAGGTAATATATTCATCCATTGTATCCGAGTTCGAACTCCTTCCTATACTTTAGAATATTGTCATTTGGTTCATCAAATTATAATAAATAATGAATTTCACCTCACATCTTTAAAATTCAAAGTGTAAACTTCCAACCGCCCAAATAAGACTAACCAAATTTATATTTCATATATGTGCATTCACCTTTTTATATGGAGTCAGTCACACAACTTTCATTACAATGTTGTTAGTATTAATCACACACTCACACAACTTCCATTATTAACAGCTTGTCATTTTCAATTCGTTTGTTTATATATAAGATAGCCAGACATGCATAATTGTATTATAACACTTAATTTGATGTTGACAAGTTTCTTTTCAAATTATTTGTTGAAATGTTGGGGGAAACTAAATATTAGTATAGAAATATTATTATAAATAGTCAAAATAATTGTCCTTGTGGATGATAAGGGAGGGAAAAGAAATCGAGAAAGACTAAGCTAAATCAAAATTTGAGTTTTGTAGTAAACAGTGCTCTATTTGTTTTGTACAAATTCATGGAATGCATGATCAACTGCGTGAAAGCTTGAAAATTTCATTAAAAGACAGGATCAACCGTGCGAACATCTAGTTGTGATATCAATACGAGAATTAGTCTAGCTATGTTATTCTTACTTCAGGTTTTTCAATGGAGACCCAGTCAATGACCAAAATGTTAGAAACTCAATTTTCATTTATTACTTATTTTTTATGATTATTTTGCCTTTGAATGTAAATAATGAAAACTAATTAAAATTGATTTATTTGATGTATTTGTACTCTCAGATTTTGAATTTTGGACATTTATGTTTAAAAAAATTCATAACTTAATGTTTCAATATTGAAATAAAAATAAAAATAATATAATTATTGAATTTGCAAAACTACTTTGATATCTATTTTTTAGTTCCTACCCACGTAGTTTTTGTGAATTCGTACGACCGTAAACCAAATATTCTATTTTAGATTTAATGGGGCTCTAGAATCACATTCACAAAATCCAAAAACTCTACACATGTAATTAAGATACACATAATCTACCTAACCAAAAGGTACAAGTTCATCAAGAAATAACTTTTATATGTGATAAATAGGCAATATGAAATCAACCTAGCTAACAGGTGCCAAAAAAACTCACCTACCGAAAAGGTAAAAATTATAAATTTAACATATAGGGTATGCATCTTTTGCCACTATGTACCTTTGACAATGGTGTAACACCACCTTAATTTGTAGCAATAAAGATATGCAAACAGTTATATATGTAACACCGCTTCGGCATACCACGATGATGTTCTTCTTCTTCACCATATTCTCAACTTCAATCAATATGATCAAACTTTCATGTAAAGCGAAAAGGATATTGCAAGAGGAAGAGTGCGAATCAACGTCTTAAAAGGTACCAGGGTTACTGGTGGCATATGCCAATGTGGTGTACATTATAGTAATACCATTGTTGTAAGAAAGTTTGTTTTATATTACTAAGAGTACGAGATATTTGTCAACTTATTATGCAGCATACTGCAAAAGAGATGGGATGGCTCCTACTTTTAATTGAACCTTCGGTGTCTTTTGCTATTTCGGACTATATACTGACTAATCTGCGCCTTCAGTTTCTTGATAAAATTATCAAATTTCAGTCTATCACGCAGAGCTAGCACAAAAACTAAAAAGCACAACCTAAACAGAGGATTGTTTTTAAATCGTAAAGTTGAATTCGATAATAAGCAAACAGTATATACAAAACTTACACCTAACTCACTAGAAACCGACCGAAATTTGACAGAATTTTAACACCCCGTGTCACAAGATCCAACACAAATGCAATATTCGCAACAAACAAATAAGGGTTTCACGTTAAAACCAGCAATTTAGTGGTCTCAAAATTATGAATGAGATCAATTAGAGGAAGTAGTTGATCACTTCCAATTCATCAATTTATCTATTACTAAGTTCCCAATTCATAATCTCCTCCATTCATAATAAACAAACGTGCTCTTAGGGTTTTCTTTTTCCCCCCTGCAGTACTACTTTGTATCGTATTGTGAGGCATTATACTTGCAATTTTGAAAAAAAAACATTGTATGAACAAATTAATTTGAAAATAGATATGGCATCAACATAGGGTATCTGATTTTCCTTTTACAAATTCATGGAATGCATGATCAACTGCGTGAAAGTTATCGGTTGGGAAGAATTTTGCATGTGGTGCTAAGCTTTTTTTATTAGTGAATTTTTAATGTTTTAATTTTTGGTTAACGGAAGTATGAAGAATAGTGGATTCAATTTTTAGGGGCAACTGGGGATGAGTTGGTCAAGTTAGAACAGCCGACATACTTTAATTTTTTCTTTTGTTTTTGTTTTTGGTACTACGAGATACTTAAGTAAGATTCCAATCCATTTTTTCTAGATTAGGCTAGTTAAGTAAGGTAATATGTTCATCCCTTGTATCCAAGTTCAAACTCCTTCCTATACTTCAAAATATCGTCATTCGGTTCATCAAATTAGAATAAGTATGAATTTCACCTCACATCTTTAAATTTAAAGTATAAACTTCCAACCACCCAAATAAGACTAACCAAATTTATATAAGGCTTCATGTATATATATATAGAGTCACACAACTTTCATTACAATGTTGTTAGTATTAATCACACACACACAACTTCCATTATTAACAGCTTGTCATTTTCATTTCGTTTGTGTATATATAAGATAGCCAGACATGCATAATTGTATTATAACACTTAATTTGACGTTGACAAGTTTCTTTTCAAATTATTTGTTGAAATGTTGGGGGAAACTAAATATTAGTATAGAAATATTATTATAAATATTCAAAATAATTGTCCTTGTGGATGAGGGAGGGAAAAGAAATCGAGAAAGATTAAGCTAAATCAAAATTTGAGTTTTGTAGTAAACAGTGCTTTGTTTGTTTTGTCCAAGTTGACATTGTTTGCCTATGGACTTGGCCAAGGGATTGTGCATCCGGAGGGGGATTTAAACACCGCACCACTGCATGGAATGCTATTAGACGTGCCTCACCGATTCAATGAATCGGGGGCAAATCTGATACAGAGCCTTCTAGTGTACGAACCTCGGGGGAAGTTGACAGTTCAGAATGCCATTGGACACCCTTATTTCTCCGATTTAGATACAGATATGCTGTGAGCATAACAATGCCTCAGACAAATAGCCATGGGAAGATGCAGCCAGTGCAGTTGGTGGGCTCCACGAGCCTGGGCTGCCCCAAAGGCAAGAATAGTCTGGGCTATTGCCTAAGTTTGCTAACGTCAGTAATGAAAAAAAATTTAAAAAAAATCTAAAAATTTCAGAATTTTTTTAAATAAATACTTAGTTATATTATTTACTTCCCACACCAAAACTCTATACAAATTCCTCTCCTCATATCTCATGTGAATAGTAGTTGCCCTTGAGTTGCCATGACAATAGGTGGAAACTTCACAAGCCTTTTGCAAGGGCTATCACTATTTACGTGAATAGTAATAGCCATTGCCTTGTCCTTGCCATTTGCCATGACAAATGGATGAAAGTGCACTTATACAGCATATTGCAAATAAACATTAAATTATGAATGAGATCAATTAGAGGAAGTAGTTGATCACTTCCAATTCATTAATTTCTCTATTACTAAGTTCCCAATTCATAATTTCCTCCATTCATAATAAACATTAAATTAGGGTTTTCTTTTTCCCCCCCGCAGTACTAGTTTGTATCGTATTGTGAGGCATTTATACTTGCAATTTTGAAAATAAACATTGTATAACAAATTAATTTGAAAATAGACATGGCATCAACATAGGGTATCTGATTTTCCTTTTGGTAGTTGTAGCATGTTGTCTTGTTTATTTTAATGTCCTCGTTTTTGCTTATTTTTATCGCATTTGCAATAAAAAATAGAATTTTATTTGAAAAAGAGTATAACTATAACAACCATAAAGACATCGATTTTCATATTGTTGAATCATATATAAGGCCGTTTCTGTTCATATATGTGCATTCACCTTTTTATATGGAGTCAGTCACACAACTTTCATTACAATGTTGTTAGTGTAAGTCAGAGACTCACACAACTTCCATTGTTAACAGCTTGTCATTTTCATTTCGTTTGTGTATATAAGATTGTCACACATAATAGTTATGTCTGTATATACACATAATTTGATGCATGATATCCTCAAAAATTAACGAGTTTCTTTTCAAATTTTCAGTTGAAATATTGGGGGAAACTAAAGATTAGTTAAAATATTGTAAATTAGTTGTCCTTGTGGGTGATACGGAGGGAAAGAAAACAAGCTAAGATTAAGCTGGATCTAAATGCAATTTCCGGGGTACTTTGTCATATTGCGAGTCCTCGGTGATTTTTTATTATTTTTAGTTGGAATTATTTGTGTGAAAGAAATTCTTTTTGGGGCTCAAAGTGGTGAAAATTAGAGTTTTTGTTATTTTTACAAATTAAGTTGAAATTTGGAAAATTAATTGGCTTTATTGGAAGTGTTAGAAAACATGTTGCAAAATATTTTGAAGTCATTTGTAGAAATGGAGTTTACAAAAAATAGTAGAGGTGAGAATTGGATTTGTAGTAATTTTTTTGAAACTCTGGAGGTATTTTTGGAGAATTTTAGAAGGTCGGGGAGAATAAAATTTTAAATGAATTATGACATGGCACAATCCTAGTCATCCCAGTGGCACTCATGGAGCAGATGTGATGAACCAAGTACGCTGAAATGGAAGATGACAAGGACTTACATTGCTGAAGTGGTGATGTTTCATTGGTTATTCCTCATGTGGCAATGGCTATAGTAAAATATACGTAGTTTTGTGTAGGTTTGATTTCGTTGTGATATAACTCTTGTATTATACAAAAATAGAATTTCAATCATTTTAGCCTCCATCATGATTTTCATTTCCGCAATTTTTTTTTTTGTATTTTTTTTTTTGGTCTGAACCACGAGGTGGTCCTGGATGGGCTCCAACTATGGATGGCACCTTTAAGCCTTAACCACAACCCAGACTAATCCCCGTTCACACCGGGTCGGCCCGTAAGGAGTAAAGTGCTGGCCAAAGTGGTGACTCCATACAAGAGCAGGGATCGAACCCCTGACCTCTCTTAAGGAATGAGAGTGCCGAACCACTCACACCAACCACCTTGGTTATTTCCGCAATTATTTTTAACATCACATCACTTTGTTTTCTCCATCTCCCATGTCTATAAATTTTTTTAGTATGAACTGAGTATTAATAAAAATAATAAATACAGAAATAAAAAAGATATGAAAAAACGAAAATTAACTTGGTTTATAAATAATAATAAATAAATAAAAGAGCTTCATTTTATTTTTTCAGGTGCCCCTCTTAGCTTGATTTATGTTATTTATTTAAAAAGATTTAAGTTTTTTTCTTGGAAGTCCCCTGGAGCTCATCTACTGCTAAATTGACCATGAGTTGACAACCGCTAATAATAACAACGTATATCACTTAAGCACTTCCATCTATTCCTCATAGCAAATGGCATATTTTTTATGCTTTTCCGTCCATTATTATGGCAATTAAAAAACAATTAATATTCATATGAGATTAATAATTTTATTTATTTATATAAGATTAATAAATAAATAAAGTACTAAATACCTATAGAAAAAAGATTCCAAATTTGTTAATAATTTTTTAGAATTTTTTTAATTTTTATTTTAAAATTTCTTCACCAACGACAGCACACTCTCAGGCGACAGCTCGAGCTGATCTTACCTTCGGGCTGCCCAGTCTTGATGGGCTGATGGAGCCCATGTACCGCCCGTCTAGAATTCATTGATGGAGAGGTTTTTTCAGCCAGAGTGGAAATGCTCTTATTTATCAAAGGATTACTATTATACAAATAGTGGAGTAAAACCCATATGAAAAGAGAACAAACCAAATTCATATGGATCCAATCCTTTCTTCCTTTTTATTTTTTTTATTTTTTTATATCAAGCTCTCTGCACTCACTACAAAAATTTGAACTTAATTACGAACATATCCGTGGTACAAGAAAACCAAAAGCTTTATATATGCTCTACTCAAACAGAGCCGCCTAGAGCTCAGATTGAGGTTCTCTACTCTCTCTGTCAGAAAAGCTCCTCTTCACTTTCTCCTTCGTCTTCTGCACTGTTTCCCCAACTAATTTGGCTGCTGTTTTAGCCGAGGAGTCCACCGTCTCTGTGCTCTTCCCAAAACTATTCCCCACAACCTCTCTCACCTTCTCTCCAGCTCCTCCTCCTCCTCTGCTCCCAGCCTCCTCTCCAAAATAAATATTATTACCACTCCCCCTAAAACTAACACCAATTCAATAATTATTAACAATCTAAATCATATATTCTTCCTCAGAAACAAAATAATTACTAAAGAAAATATTTATAAAAAAAACATACTCTAAACTGGGAGGGAAGATGAAGGCTTGCCCTTGGTTCAAAAGCGCTTTGGCCTTCTCCAAGTAGCTTCGGATCCCCAAAGGTGAAGATGTGTACGGAGGAAAAGCATTTCTGGTCATCTTCCACAAAGATGGTTTTTCTGGTGCATCATCATTTCTGCTTTCCTCCACCTTATACTGCTGCTCTCCTTCATCCGCAGAACCAAAGCCAGTAGTGACCAATACCAATATAGTGCAGAGAATCAGCAAAACTGCAGATGAACAAGTGTTTTTCCTTCTGAGTTTCAACTCCATTGCTGAAAGCTGCATTTATGGTGAGAGTAAGTGATGTACTGGGATCATATAAAAATCTCTCTATATATGATGGTGTGAGCTTTCATGTTGTGTCACAGTTTGTTGACACGTGTCTAGATGCTGATTGGTGAAGCGGTGAAGCCTCAAGACGTGGCGCTGGCAGGTGGCTTGTTTGCCCTCGTCGGCTCATATGTCAGACTCAAAAGAGTCGGTCAGGCGTTATCCAAACTTTGAGAATTCCTTTTTCTTTGTCTTATTATATTGCCCCGTTTTTGCTCTTTTAATTTCCGGAAGCTCACAAGAAAAAGGAAATCCTTGTAACTTTATTTAAATTAAAGACAACAAAAACAAAAGTAATTAGGATTTTCACAAAAGATCGAGATCAAAGGTGTTTTGTTCGGAAAATAATTAATTTTTTCAATAAAGAAGTAAATGATTAACCAATTCATTTTCAATCTGTTACAATGGCCAAACAGTTTGCATTTACGATAAGAAAAGTACTAGCGTAATCGTACTAAAGTTTACGTACTATTTACATTTTTACACAAATGATATTGTTTTCGTTGTTAAGCATTACTTCATGCACGATTAACATTATTTTCCGTATTATACTAATATGAGATACGTATGACTTGTTGGAATAACGCCAAAAAAGTTCTTATTTGTTTGCACGCGATAGACGCTAGCATTTTTCTTAAATAATATAGTCACATACATACAACCTGCTAGAATTTAACTAAACAATATCTGTATTTCAAAAACTAAAAAAATAAAAAAAAAATTTAATTATTTTATATGCCGTTAAGCCATTTCCAATGCAATGGCTCAAACCCAAATTATCCCCAAAAATCTCTCTCAACCCAACAAAATGAAGGACCCAAAATTTGGGAAAATCCAAATTTGGACCCAAATATGGGTCCAAGTATTGCCTGGACCCAATACTGTTTGCTGGACCTCACGCTGAGGTGGCTGATGCCATGTGATTCTGAAAATTTGGTGGGACCCGCGCTATTGACATTTTCTGATGGATTTGGCTGCTGCCATGCCACATGTCGGCGCCTGGTTTTGTAGTCGTTGCAATTCAAATGGCTACTTTTTTATTTATTTAAACAAATCTAAAGTAACTTTAAAAAGGCTGAGCCCACTGTTGGCTCATTCCAACCTTAAAAGTGCCGTTGCAAATAACTATTCCTTTTTTTTTTTTTCAAATTCTAATAGTAACTTTAAATTAACGATCTAGATTAAATCTAAGTTATTTTAACGGTAAAAAAAAAGATCCAACGGCTGAAATTTAAATCCAACAGTCAAAATAATATTTTAAATTAATCCAAATCAGATCCAACCCCAAAACTCACTCCAAACTCTATAAATACCCATCCATTTCTCAATTAATCTACCAAAAACAT